AATTAAAACACTTCGGGAGTTTCCAGGAAAAGAAGGTCAGTTTCAGGAAGAAAAAAAAATAAATCAGTGTACTGTTCAGAAACAAGTTACACACAAATTTGAGTAAACTGCTATTAAAATTCAGTAGTGAATTTAAAGTTTTTTTAATTCTATTTTTGACATTTTATCTTTCTCAAAATAAACATGCAAAAACACTTAAGATGTACATTCATTCTCTCTGAAGCTATTTCCTGCTTGAGATTTTATCTCAGTAGAAATATGCTTACTGGCTGAAAGACTAAAAGATTAAGCAACACAAAAGTCCAGGAGGGAAGAGAGCACCCAAGCTTGTTTATGAAGTTGCAAATAGATGCCGCTAAAATGAAAAGATAAAGAAACTGCATAATTCTGCTATTATTTAGAAGCGTACAGGTAGCTGGTGAGAGAGTACACCTGCAATGCAGAAAACTGTTACATGACAAGTGTTATTTGTATCTGTTACTCCTGGACATTCAATTAAAACACTTCGGGAGTTTCCAGGAAAAGAAGGTCAGTTTCAGGAAGAGTAAGAAAAAAAATAAACCAGTGTACTGTTCAGAAAGAAGTTACACACAAATTTGAGTAGACTGCTATTAAAATTCAGTAGTGAATTTAAAAAAAAAAATAAATCAGTGTACTGTTCAGAAACAAGTTACACACAAATTTGAGTAAACTGCTATTAAAATTCAGTAGTGAATTTAAAGTTGTTTTTTTTTTTTAATTCTATTTTTGACATTTTATCTTTCTCAAAATAAACATGCGAAGATAAAGAAACTGCAGAATTCTGCTATTATTTAGAAGCATACAGGTAGCTGGCGAGAGTGTACACCTACCACGTCTATAATAAAGGAGATGCAGGCAATGCAGAAAACTGTTACATGACAAGTGTTATTTGTATCTGTTACTCCTGGACATTCAATTAAAACACTTCGGGAGTTTCCAGGAAAAGAAGGTCAGTTTCAGGAAGAAAAAAAAATAAATCAGTGTACTGTTCAGAAACAAGTTACACACAAATTTGAGTAAACTGCTATTAAAATTCAGTAGTGAATTTAAAGTTTTTTTAATTCTATTTTTGACATTTTATCTTTCTCAAAATAAACATGCAAAAACGCTTAAGATGTACATTCATTCTCTCTGAAGCTATTTCCTGCTTGAGATTTTATCTCAGTAGAAATATGCTTACTGGCTGAAAGACTAAAAGATTAAGCAACACAAAAGTCCAGGAGGGAAGAGAGCACCCAAGCTTGTTTATGAAGTTGCAAATAGATGCCGCTAAAATGAAAACTAAGCAACACTAGTGATAAAGTCAAAACAGTTTGTTTTACTGGCTGAAGATTTAGGGAGAAAAGCCCTCACACAGGGGCAAATACTACTCATGTTATTATTAACTGAAGCACCACAACATGCAGATACACACAAATATTTGAGTAGCCAATAAAAAGCACTTAAGAAACAAACTGAAGCAGCTTAGAAGGAAAATACAAATATAGGAGTAGGAGACAGCTGGTGTTTAGGATTAAATACACTAAACACTTAATGTTTCAAGAAGTCATAAATTACCTTCAGAAGCAAACACACAGCTTTGTTTACAAAGGAATTGTTTCCTACCCTCCCCACCCTCCAATAGAGGGGTAACCCACAAATATAAAACTGGAGACACAAACGTAGTGCAAAGTGCTTGTGCAAATAGTGACCAACTAAGTAGGGGGGAAACAGCAAAGTAACTTTTTAAGAGCTAGACTGACCAGCAAAGACAAAACTGTGTTTTAGAAAACCTATTAAAGGCTACTGTGTGCACTAAAGATTGAACCCAGACTCCACTGCTTTCAAGTAGAAAAAAGCTTCCCCGTGGCAGCAAACACCAGCAGAGTACATGTCTGAAGAAAAGATAGATAGCTCCAGGATTAGGGGTAAATTAAAACACAAAACACTTCATAAAAACCACACACTGCCTTTAGGTATAAATAGTGTACTTCACTAATAATTTCAAATTCTTTTAGCAAATGTTGCTCAACCCCCTGAGAAGCATCATCATTCATTTGTCAAAGATGAATATCCAGAATTGTAAACTGGTCACTCAGAAGTGAGAGTCAGCTTATTAGTTGCTTACGTTACACCAGATTTTCCAAATCTGTCAGGCTACTGCCAGAACCATGACACAGAATCATAGAATTGTCTAGGTTGGAAGGGACCTTTCAGATTATCAAGTCCAACTATCAACCTAACACTGACAAAACCATCACTAAACCATGTCCCTAAGCACCACATCTACTGGTCTTTTAAATACCTCTAGGGATGGGGATTCCACCACTTCCCTGGGCAGCCTGTTCCAATGCTTGACAACCCCTTCAGTGAAGAAGTTTTTCCCAATGCCCAATCTAAACCTCCCCTGGCACAACTTGAGGCCATTTCCTCTTGTTACTTGGGAGAAGAGACTGACCCTCAACTCTCTACAACCTCCTTTCAGGGAGTTGGAGAGAGTGATAAGGTCTACCCTTCAGCCTCCTTTTCTCCAGGTTGAACAATCCCAGCTCCCTCAGTTGCTCCTCACAAGACTTGTCCTGCAGATCCCTCACCAGCTTTGTTGCCCTTCTCTGGACTCACCCCAGAATCTCAATGTCTTTCCTATGGTGAAGGGCCCAAACCATACTTGGCTTGTGTATATCTGTCTCAAAACCTGACACACAAAAATACAACATACGAGAGCAAACACATTTGTAGACTATAACTTAACATATGAATTAGCTTCCTTGAAATTCAGGTTCCATGAAATTAGTTTCCTCTTTGTGACAGAAAAAGCCTGAATATGTTCATGTGTTTCTGCATAAATCACATAATGCTGCTCATTATGATGAGCTAAAAAAAATCCCCCACCCTACAGCAGTACTCAAGTGATCCAATACACTTGACCTTCAAAAGAAGTGAAACCATCAGTTACGCTGCAGTAAATGAAAAGTACTTTGCTGCTAAGTAGAAACAAGGAGAAATGAAAGAGAAGACAATAGAGGTTATGGTATTTATTTTTCTTCTCTATAAAATACCAAAAACATTAGCTTAATTTCTTGGAAATTGCGGAATGGATGAGCCTAGTTACTGGCATTATAAACAAACAAAACTTCTGGTATGAAAATAAAATTACTTTCAGGAAAAAACACCCAAAAATTTTGTCAGGAAAAGGAAGAACACGAAAGAAACTTTGCTTGACCCAAAATAATGGCTTGTTATCTCTGCTACAAATATAAATCTTTGTTCTATTTACCAGTTCAGTGCACTACTGGTGCTTTCTCCTGTCTCCCTCTTTGCTATTTCCCAGTCCCTTCACTCTTGCTTGGACACAGAAAGGCACAAGCACATCTGTAGGACTGAGAAGCTTGTCTTTTTACTCTCTTGTCATCACAACACTAAAAAAAGCTAGCACATACGCAAAAACATTTTCACTGTTAGCACTGTCAGGTTGCCAAGAGAGACTGCATAATCTCTTTCCTTGGAAGTTTTGATGAGCTGATGGAACAAAGCCCTGGGCAACCACAACTGAATTCAGTGTTGGGCCTGTTTTCTGCAGGAATTTGTACCAGATGACTTCCTAAGGTCCTATCTGAATTATTCTATGAACGTGCAGCCCTTAGCTGCTTCAGAAAGTCTCTCCACATATCCCTAGAACAGCACAGCAGCAGCAGTGTTGGCTACAATTCCTGTATGACAACAACCAGTATTATCTCGTCATTTCATTTTTCTTCTCAATTGCCTTCTACATCCACCTATTATTTCTTAAATCCTGTAAGCTCTTTGGAGTTTCCTTCTGCTCTGCATTTGCCTGTCTAGCACTTGCACTCCTGGATTTGTGGCTAAGGCTTCCAGAAAATATAGCAATAGAAATAAAATCAAAACTAAAGCAGAAAACAAGAAAATAACTGAGTATCAAACTCAGGTTTAAGGACTACTTCAAAAGTAAGATACACTTGAGTGACAATGCACTCAGCTTCTTAGTAGCTAGGAACAACAGACAGAAAGAATGAAACTTAATGCAATTGACCAAATAGATATGGCAGCTCTTTATATCCTTCACCTATTATTATAATGCACTCATGAATGAATTCTTATTGTAGGAGAATGTAGAAGGAGAAGAAAACAAACCAAAACTGTTTAATTTTTAAGAAACTGACTAGATATATACTGTTGAGAGGAAGGAAAGGAAGAACTTCACATCACCATTCTTCAGATGACGTATTTGACAAGAGAAACGACCAGATTTTACTGGAGAGAGAAAGGTGAAATATTTTTACTAAGCTGAGTATCTATTTAATATAGGTATACTCTTAGGCACTAGTTATTCTTTGCCAAGACAAACACAGGCATAACTCACATACTACACCTCTCAAAACAACTTGAGCCATACTACTAACCTGATATGCCAAGATAGAAAAAACAGTCAGAGCTTCCTGCATCACTTTCCCCTTACCTATTTCTCACTGTCAAACTGTTCTTTATACTATTTTTCTCCTACGATAAAGACTCTTTGTAGTTATTCTGTTGAGTCACGGACATTGGTCTGTTGTGGTAACAAACACCACAGAACCAAAGGAGCACGAGCTGGGAGAGGCAGAAACCCGGCACAAGAAGAAATAATTTTATTGGCATGTACTTCAAAGAAGCTGAAGTTCAAAGCAGTAAGGTTTAAAAAAAAAAAAAAAACCAAACCCCAACCTTTCAGTTAATTTTTATTCACTACATTGGATTGTTCATCAAAATTAATAATATGGCATAGGCTCTAACACTGTGCTCCAGCTGACAAGCAAATCAGAACTTCTCATGAATGTGTCAAACCCCTGTGCTTGGAAGTGACAACATAAATGGCAGTAACTGAGATCTGGTTGGTATTTTCTTCCCATCCAAAATTTAAAGAAAAAAAAAAAACATCTGGGGCAGGAGAAACATGCAATCTGAATAAAACTTCCCCCCCCACCAATTCCTGAATCACTTACTAGGTCACTTCGAGGAGCTTCCTGATAGTCTGCTGAAAAGCAGGACATGGAACTCCTTGTGCCGTTGCTGTCGCTGGCTGGGCGCGGCGGCTGCGCGTACTGCCTGTACGTAGCGCTCTTCGGGGTCCAGCGAAATAGGTTGATGGACTCTCGAACACAGCGCTCGATGTCGATCTCTGATCAGGGATTTAAATTAAAAAAAACCAAGAAATGCAATTGTGAAAATGAGTAAAGCCAATTAACCTAGCTATGACATTGCTAAATATACACATACCATCTCTACCTATACATATACCCATTTATACCTCTGTCTCATCTCTCTCTCCCCCATTAAAAGGCACATAGTTTTCAAAATTTTCCCATTAAAAAAAAAATTTCAGAAATTTATTAAGAAAAACTAGCAAAGACATTTTAATCATTAATTTTATCCCTACTTTTATATGTAAAATACAGCAAGCTGTTTAGCAGAAGCATAACAGAACTTTAACCAATGCAAAGCCAGGAGTATAACTGAAGCCTAGTCATTGTAAGGCATGTTCATTAAACGTCTTTGCAAATCAGACTATTGACTCTTAAATGTAAGTACTTGCAGTGCATCAGAAATACTTCATGCAGTGGGTGGACAATGGGATTTTTGGATCGACCAAGTGTCTTATTTGTCAATTCTGTTGTCAAACTTTGTGCAGCCCACCATTTTGGCAAAGTTATGTGTTAACTGTTTGATGGAAAAACAGGAGTTCTCAACACCAACTTGTGCCTGACGGAAAACACAATGGCTTTGTTTTAGAACCTAAAAAAAAAAAAAAAAAAGTTTTGTGCCTGACGGAAAATACAATGGCTAAGTGTTATCCATATCTCTCAAATAGATTTCATGCACTGCCATCAATCAGGGAATCTGGCAAAGCTACATGTTAACTGTTTGATGGAAAAACAGGAGTTCTCAACACCAACTTGTGCCTGACGGAAAACACAATGGCTTTGTTTTAGAACCTAAAAAAAAAAAAAAAAAAGTCCAAAACCTAACCAGACATTCACACTGAAGCATTCTGACTGAAGGAGTGAAGTGCCATGTGTGACAAAATATAACTCAACTTGGGAGGAAAGCAGACATCCATCAAATGGGAAGCATCCCAAAATAAACTCTGGTCAAATAAAAATTACCAAAGCGTAATGAAAAAGATATGCAAAAGGAAAAAAAAAAGCAAACCTATTACAAATGCCATTTTTGCAACACTAAGCATCTGTATATATCTGTCTTCTAACAAGATGTAACATAAAAAAACATTTACTTTTCTATCACTATAAAAAGACTGGTTAGTTTTGCATCTCCTGTCTGCAGTCTCATAAAAAAAGAAAAATTATTCTAGCTTGCCTTTTATGACAAATTAGTGTATTGCATCAAACAAACAACAGGTATATTAGCCCTTCTTTGTCGTGTCTGTCCCAAGCATCTTGGATGATTAATTACAGCACTCACAATTTAGAAGATTGAAGCATGAGCTTCTATGAAGAAACCAGAGACACTGTAGCCAAGTGTTATCTGTATCTCTCAAGCAGATTTCATGCACTGCCATCAATCAGGGAATTACTCCAGAAACCTCAGTCATTTAGCAGGGTGGTGAGCAACAGAAGCTGAAGCTGAGGATTGGGGTGGAATATTCCAGTTGGATTAGATTATTTGCTTTGTTTAAAATCTGAATGAATGATGTGACCAATTAATCTCCCATTCAAAAAGCTGTCTGCATTCAGGTAGGATAGAACCTGCAGCATATGCTTTAATTCCACTGAAGACGACGTGCTTATGTGCTATCTTGCTTAAAAATCTGAGGCTAAAGCTGTGATTTATGTAATTTTTATGCCAGCTCTGAAGCCTTTTTATGGATGGGAGAATAATTCACAATTTTCCTTAATCATATCAGGTTCTCTAGGTACTTGGGATAATACTTGCCAGAGATAAATGGACAACATTGTGTCTCAACAGTAACTAACAAATTTTCATTCTGTGATGAAACTAGATTAGATTTTTCATTATAAATATAATATAAGGTTGGTATTTAGTATCATTTCCAAGGAAAATCCATGCAACTGGAACATTTTACACAATTTCTAAATTCAGGTTAAGACAAGAGATGCCTTTCACTGGTTATTATTCCTAGAGCTCAGAATACACTCCGAAGCATGGTCAATACAGTCACACTTCCTCTACATTGCTGAAGACTCATTTGATTTATAAGAAGTTGAAAATTTCAGTTCAAGACTGTAACACATTTATGGTTTTTTGTTTTTCTGTGAATTAACTGTGAGTGATAGCCCTGTCTCCTGAAATTCTTAGTTAAGCAAATGTTAGCAGTACTATTGTAATAAGTGAGACGAAAGCAAAATTTAGCCAGTTAAAAAAAAAATAAAATTATCTGAACAACGATAATTAAGAGCATGAGAAACGTTCGGTTGTGAGGGCATAATAAGCCTACAAATATCTGAAATTGAAAACACAAAAGTGGGGGATGGAACAGGAATGCTATGCACAGTAGAAAGTTATGAAATAGCTGAAAGCAGAAATTGAGATTGATGGAGTTAAGCACTGAGAGAAACTGTCAAAATATTTTTCCTAGAAACAAGCTCTGTAATTCCAAAAAGAATCCATTTAGAGAAGGCAAAAATGCAGCAATGGCTTTCCCTAAAAACTATAACCAGTTCTCACACATCAGAGTGTAAGTAAAAACTTAAAATTATGTTGGTTTGTGATTCTTGGCTGTTTGGTTTCTCACTTCTTCTAAGCAGCCTTTCAGGGGGACAGTGTCCATGCCTCACAATAAAATTCCATGGAGCAAGAGGGAATTTAAAATGGTTTGGGAGGGAGATAGTCAAAAGCCTAACACCAATTTACAGTCTGCTGATTAACTGATCTGCTTCTAAGTAATGCAAAATAAAAATATAACAAGGAGATCATGGTTTCTGCAAATAATAATAATTAAAAAAATTACATATGTATGCACATAGGCACATGTATGCATAGATATGGGAATGGTCAACATGCATGACCCACAAGGGTGGTAGTGAAAAATTTACTCGCATTTGTTTTTTTAAAAAAACAATTAGTTTCAGGATACTGGAGTTTAAGACAAGATTAAGCTGGTGTAAATATTTACAGAATATTTATTAGTCACATTGCATGACCAACCGTCACAGTCGAGTAACCTTCAAGCCCATCTCCACCCTTTGTTTGAAATTTCAGTTTAAGAAAAATCACTTCCCATCAGTAACTAAAATGCAATGCAATCCTTTGCAGCCTTGCTGGATAAGATCTTTTCTCTTCCTTTTGGCTAATAAGTAAGGGTCTGCTGTGCTACTTCAATCACCATTTCTTCCCATGCCCTTTCAAATATATGACAAATGAGTCAGTCTCCAATTAAAAGTCCATCTTTTGTTATCGCACCAAGACTTTGCATTCACACAGAATTAATCCCGCTTGTATTCTTCCTGCTCCCAAGTAACTGTGTTACAAGCCAGAAAACATTAAAGCTTACACATTATTAAAAACATACTGTTGCTAAGTCAGAAGTGCAAATACAAGTCCTTGAGCAGGACTATGAACAAAGAGAGTACCTCTCCAGGATGCCAGACTACTTGTCATGTGCAAATAACTTAGAAGAACATCCTTCTGCCAGCACTCTCAAGAAGCAAAGCAAGAAGTGAACAGAAATATTTAGAAAGGACAGGGAGGATCTGCTCACTCATGTACATGTAACTTCTCTGTTCTCTTCAAGGTCCCAGCACTGGGGTGCTCTGTAGTTTAAAAAGCAAATGTGCCTTCTATTTTTACTCATGCAAATTATTTTGCTGGAAAATCAGTAACGAAAACATGCTGACCTAACACGGTGTCAATAACTGTGAATTGTGCTTAACTTTGAACATAATATAAATACCATAAAAGTAAGTTCTTGTTATAAAATTTGGTATGTCTTCAAGCAGTGTGGTTTTCAAAACGTGTGGAGCACCTGCATTTCAAAAAAGTCAAAGTTGGCACCCAAGCACCGAGGGAGTAAAAATCACGAGTTTCATTTTAAAACACTGGTTTTAGGAGTTCTGGCTCAACAGAGCTCAAGTAGTTCAAAGTCGAGCAGCAATCCAGCATTACAGGAAACAATTCCACGGCACCAGCTAATTACTCCATTACTCGGTATCAAAAGACTTTTCCTGAGATTCCTAAATATGCAAATAATACAGGAATTGAAAAAGGCAGAGGGTGGGGAAATAAACAAAGAGTGATCTAACAGTCATATCCTGGTTTTGCCACTGCCCCATCCCAATATTAAGCCTACTGAAATATTCTGCTCCTTTTCTAACTAAACCTCCTCCTGGTTGCTTTAAGATGTTACTCATTTTGCTCTGTTCATGTTAAATTATCACTCCCTACCAACTTGTTGCCTCCTCCTATCAACAGCTTAAACTGAAAAGGATGGCTCAGCCTTACGTAGCCCCTGCTTCAACTGAAAAGGATGGCTCAGCCTTACGTAGCTTTTTAAGCGACATATATTTAGTGTTTATTGTTATAGATACAGGAGAGAAGTAGATCGCTTGGATGCTAAAAAGAAAGCACCACCATAAAGGCAATACACCTGTGACGAAAGCACAGAGAATTTTTTATTTTTACACCAAAACTGGATGTTCACAGCAAGTGAAAGCAAGCAACTGAGAAAAAACATAAGAGGAACGGTTCTTTCTTAATGAATATGTACACAGACCAAGTCTTTGTCTGCAGTTAATCAATTCCAGAGCCCTTTCCTTGGGTAACGGGACACCAGTTATGAAACCTGGCCAAAACAAACTGCTTCTGCATTTTGGAAACAGCCCAGAATTATGGGCTTGGTTTGACCTCTCCATCACGAGCAGTTTATTGCTACTCTGTCAGGCAACATCAGCTTTCACCACACAGCCACATAAATAGGCCAGAAAACCTCGGTGCTATAAAAGCGGGGAAGCTGAATAGGTCAGTCAGTTCAATCTCATGATTCCTGCTCTCAGAAGAAATAGAGGTGAGAGGCCATAAACCTTTTCTTCTTTTTTTTTTTTTCTGATGACATACAAGAAGGTACACTAAGCCTAAATAATTAAAAGGACAAATGTAGGAAGAGAAGTGACATTTCTAGCCAACACCTCTGTATCTATTACTGCT